AAAAAAAGAAATGTAACTATATGTTACAAACATGTCAACATGACCTGTGTGGACGTTACAGCAGCTTATTCCCAAGCCAGACTATCATCTAGGTAGTCTTTTATTTTATAATAAGCTTTACTATAAAATTTATCTTTAATGACATTTTTAAATTTATTTAGACTCAAATTTTGGATATGGCTGGGAATCTTATTGTAAAAGCGTATACTCTGACATCTAAACGAACCACTTATTTTCTTTAGTCTAGTAGTGGGAACAACATATTTGTCTTTATTTCTCGTGTTTATATTATGTATATCACTATGTTTTTTAAATAAACTTTTGTTTTTATGAGCATATACTAAATTTTCATAAATGTATTGAGAAGCAACCGTCATTATATTAATTTCTTTAAATAGTTCCCTGAGAGAGTACCTCGGACTAAGATTATAAATTGATCGAATGGCCCTCTTCTGCAGAACAAAGATAGATTGAATGTCAGCAGCATTCCCCCATAAGAGAATACCATATGACATAACACTATGAAAATAACTAAAGTATACTAATCGCGCTGTATCTACATCGGTTAGATTTCTAATTTTTTTAACGGCATATGCTGCAGAACTGAGCCTTTTCGATAACTTATTTATATGTGGAGCCCACTGGAGCTTAGCGTCTAGGGTTATACCTAAAAAGACAGTAGAATCTACAGGGCTCAACTCCTCACCCTTAATGAGCACGCTGGTTTTCACATGTCCAACATTTGGTGTTGTAAATTTAATGCATTTAGTTTTAGTTCCATTTAGTAATAGGTTGTTGGCATTGAACCAGCGTACTATCTCCGAGAGAGCACTGTTCACATTATTAATAACTAATTGTCTACGTTTAAGTTTAAATAATAACGAAGTATCATCCGCAAACAGTACTATCCCGTGGTTATCCCTTACAAGGTAAGGTAAGTCATTTATATATATAAGAAACAAAAATGGGCCGAGAATTGACCCCTGCGGAACCCCCATCCTGACAACAGACCCGGTGGAGACTTTTCCGTTTATTTCGACTCTCTGAATCCTGTTACTCAAGTATGAGGTAAGAAGATCCAGAGATTTACCTCTTATTCCATAATGGGATAGCTTCCTGATCAATGTATCATGAAGGACACAATCGAACGCCTTGGATAAGTCACAAAAAATGCCCAAAGCGTCGCTTGAGTCCTCCCACGCGTCATATATGTGATTAAGAAGTTCAACACCGGCATCAGTTGTTGAACGACCCCTGGTAAAACCAAACTGGTTACTATGTAACAATTTATTTCTATTAAAAAATCTTTGCATTTGATTTAGAATAATTTTTTCAAAAATTTTACTAAATGTAGGTAGTACTGAAATAGGTCTAAAGTTAGTGGGGTCAGAAGTACTACCTGATTTAAATAACGGAGTTATTTTACTATTTTTCATAAGATCAGGAAACACACCGCGGTCGATACAATTATTAAAAATTAGAGCTAATAGAGGTGCTATAATAGCTATAACAGAGCTGGCAATGTACACAGAATTTCCCCACAAATCTGCAGTCTTTTTCTTATTTAAGGTATGGAAGGTTTTGACGATATCTGTACAATCTATGTGTTCAAAAGAGAACCCTATGCTGCAAGCTATAACGTTTTCTTTTAGTAAAGATTCTGCAACAGTGGGAGATGAATTCAATGACTTAGTCGTAGATATAGGAATGTCCGAAAAGAAACTTTCAAATGCAGCTGCAACTTCTGCGTCTGATTTTATTACATTATTATCAATTAGAAGACTATATTCATTACTTTTCTTTTTGGACCTTCCCGTCTCACTGTTAATAATACTCCAGGTCGCTCTGATGACATTGGTACTGTTCTTTATTTTGGAGCTCAAGTACCGCGACTTTGCAATAGCGCAGACCTTTTTAAACAATTTAGAATATTTCCTAACATATACATTAAATTCGATTGTGTTAATAAATGTCCTCTCACTATATAGCTCATAGAGACGTTTCCTACTTTTATGGATGCCAGTGGTTGCCCATTCGTTGAAAGACACATTGCCTTTAACTGGTATAGTTTTAGGTGTAAAGGTAGACTTAAACTCGGTATGGTACATATTAAAAAAATCATCATACAAATTATTAGGATTTTTATTCATTAACAAAGGTAATTTTTGAGTGACTTTAGATTTGAAGGTTTCAATGCGTCTTTCAGTCTTTGGGTTGACAGTGATAAATGGTTTAGACATTGTATTTACATGATTTGTTATTGAAATTAACTGTCCGCAATGATCTGAATCAAGCAATGATATAATTAAGTCGATGTAAATGTCATAAAATGAGTGCAACTAATAACATTATAACAACTCAAGTATTTTACAGAAGTATTTCTTTATTGTGACACCGAATAAAAAACGAAGAAATCAGCTGAAAAGTGCTGAGTGAATTCCTGGTTGGAGACACTTATTTAATAAATAAATAAATATATCGCAGAATCAACAAAGGTGCACAACTATCGAGTATCGTTATTTTAGAACAACGCCATCTGTTATCATTTGTCGGAAACGTCAAGCGGTGTGCTTGGGTGATGGTCGGTACGGGGCGTGGCATGTTGGAATTTTGAAAGGCGTCACTTTTGAGTTGGACACGAGGGTGAGCGGTTGTTCTGCCAGCCCGTACCGAACTTACCGCGTTTACGAAGAATCCGATGACGAAGTACCCCCAATGGGTGAATTGTCTCCGACATATAAATAACCGTCTAATATGGCATGCAGAAGAATTTATAAATGTTCTGTGCATACGTAGAAGATTTAGCTTCATCTTATTATTATAGCATATTTGGTTTGATAATAAACTTACTTTATACATGGAAATATAGTATGCTTTTTAACCGATTTCCCAAAAAGGGTCTCATTTCGTCAGTATATTTTTTTTTTCTATACATATGTACAACGATTACGTCAAGGTTTATGGACCGAATTACGAGATTAAGTTTTTTGTTCGACGCAACATAATTGTCATTGAGTTCCATAAAATTCCTTTTAGTTTATTTAATAGTTCCGCAGGATCAGATACAAATAAATAATATAGTAGGTACTTACCCTCTCCTCGACGTTGCTGAAAGTTTTGTCCGAGCTGATGATGAGAGGGTCGGTGCAGAAGCCCCCGAAACAGAACCCTGGAGGAGGCCCGTAGCCGTCGAAGAGCTTGTGGGTGTATATATCCGTTGGAGCTCCTAGGAAGTACATAAAAACAATTTTTATTATATACGGTTTCAATGCGCTCTATTCTACCAATCAAGCTCTTTCGTTTGATATCCATAATGGAGGTAGTTGTGAAACATTAGATTATATTGTATGGCCATCAAGATTAAGAGTGTGTAATAAATATCAGATCGATCTGTCGTCAGGAAGGGGGGGATTACCAATTACTAAAGACACAAATATATAAATGGGGTAAGTTAAAAAACCGTTTAATAACTACACAACAACGACAAAAATGCTTAAGTGTTGGAGAGCCATGCTTCGGCACGAATGCGCCGGCTTGACCGGAGTGATACCACAGCCTCACAGTAAACCGACGTGAAGCAACGCTTGCGTTGTATTTCGTCGTGTGAATAAGGTTACCGGAGGCCCAATTACATCCCCCTTTCTCAATCCCCCCAATCCCTGAATCCCAAACAATCAATAAACAACAAATTTAAAAGAGACGAACCTCTGAGTTTGTTAGAAAATGTCGACCTCATCGTTCGCTTGATAAAATTGAGCTAATTTGCAGAAATAAATTCACTTGTATCACTTGTATTAAATTTAATTGAATGCTCAAATTCCTAATCTCCAAAAGGCTGGTAACGCACTTGTGTGTAACGCCTCTGATGTTCCTATTGTCCATGGGCGACGCCGATTGCGTACCATCAGGTGATCCGTCTGCTTGTTTACAGGCTAATCCCATAAAAAAAGCTTACCTAAATCATCGCTGCCTCTCCACACGAACTCAAGAGATTTGCTTTTCATCCTAGACAGTTCATCATCATAGCTGATAGGATTAATGAAATGTGCGTCAAATCCCATCTGCGCCATCAGGGACGCGAATTCTCTAGAATGTCCATAAACGTCAGCTTGCCAGGTTACTAGTGGACGTCCACATTCCAAGAAGGTTGCATTAATTTTTCTGTGAAAATGTAAAATATATTAGTATTCTATTTGAAGGGATAATTTCTTATTTTGCTGCCTCGTTGGGCGAGTGGTAGCAAGTGCGACTGCCGGGCAAGGGGTCTCGGGTTTGATTCCCGGGTTGGGCAAAGTATTACTGGGTTTTTAACTCGTCGAGTACCGTCATTATAGACACAATTATAGAACAATAGGTTGCGGTCACCGGTGACCGCTTGGTGTTTGACAGTTTAAAAAATTTTCAGTAGTAGCACGAAATCTGGAATTGTGCCCGGTATATGGCAAAAGGCTCACCCCCTATTACATGGGACTCATAACATAACAGACAAGACAGGGTGTGGAAGACAGGGCCTCGCGCTGGTATTCTACTGGCCCCTTAAGTGACTCGCGGACGAACAAGCCACCAATTAGACATTAACAGTTTAGAAGAAATTAATTAAACAAACATAATAATGTAACAAAATAAATGAAGAGATAGAAAAGCACAACCGGATAGTTACATATTTTTTTATGGGATAAGCCGGTAAACGGTCAAACGGACCTGATGGTAAGCAATAAGTGTCGCCCATGGACACGTGGAACGTCGAAGGCTTTCAAAGTGCGTGACCGGCCTTTTGGGGATTAGGAGTTTGAGGATTGTTGTAGATTCATGGATTGGAGGGGGAGGGGGTAATTGGGTTTGCGTTAACCTCACTCACACTACAATACACAACGCAAGCGTTGCTTCACGTCGGTTTTCTGTGAGGCCGTTGTATCAGTCCGATCGAGCCAGCTCTTTCGTGCCGAAGCATGGCTCTCCCACACATTGTTGGGGATTCGGGGATGGGAGAGATTTGAGATTGGAAGGGGGATAGGGCCTCCGGTAACCTTACTCACACGACGCAAGCGGTATTAAGTATTAAAACATTTTTTTAGATTAAACAGAAAACAAAATGAAATTGGGTAATCCATACCTTAAACTGTAGGTGAAGTGGTCGATTATTGCGTGGTAGCTGGTGGTAGCTTCATCGCTCATGCTCCAGCCACCACCGTTGAAGTAGAGGCGCCCTTGACGAAGCAATTCGTACACCATACGTTTTACTATTTAAAAAAATAGTGACGATGGATTAGCTATTTTTTATTATTAATTAAGTTAATTTTTAAGTGTGGGAGAGCCATGCTTCGGTACGAATGGGCCGGCTCGATCGTAGTGATAACACCAACGAGCACAGAACAGCACAAAATAGACGGATCAGTAAGAAAGAAAGAAAGAAAAACCATTTATTTTTGCGCAAAACACACATAACAGAATCAGTCTTAGAATCTTTGGGTTCTGAATACATGCATCACATAATCATGGGTGATTTCAACACCAATCTCCTTTCCCACGAATCCCCACGTTCCCGTAAACTCCTTCACATAATTGAGTCGACAAATCTACACGTGTTACCTCTTAACGCTACTCACCACAGTACTGTTGGCGATGACTCCTGGCTTGACCTTATCCTCACCTCCAATCCCTCTCTTGTGTCCTGCCATGGTCAGCACGATGCTCCGGGTTTCTCACATCATGACATGATTTTCCTATCCTATATCCTTAAACCGCCCAAGGTGAGGCCCAGGGTCTTGTATAGGCGTTGTTTTGGACGGGTGGACGGGGCGAGATTGCGGGAGGATGCGTCGTCGATCGACTGGGAGCCCTTGATAGATGCAATTGCGGTTGATGATAAAGTTGCAATCTTTAACTCAAACATTATTAACCTTTACGATCGTCACGCTCCAATCAGGAAAATAAAGGTTAAGCGGCTCCCTGCACCGTGGATGACCCAGGGGATTAGGATGGCCATGCGGCGCAGAGATCGGGCGTTCCGTAAACATAGGAGGGATCGCACTGAGGAAAACTGGGCAACCTTCAAGTTTGCAAGAAACAGGTGTAACCAGATGGTACGTGACGCCAAACGCCGCCATGTTCTCGAAAACATTTCATCTTCTTCTCCTGCCGATATCTGGAAATTCCTCGGAACTCTAGGTATCGGTAAGACGCAATATTCAGATCTTCCCTGTACAGTTTGTCTAGATGGTCTTAATGACCATTTCACAACAATACCTACCATGGACCCTCTAGTCAAACGTAACACTCTTGCCTTTATCTCTGGTCTGACGCGTCCATCTATCACTAATCCTTTCCGCTTCGCTCCAGTTGACTCGACTGAGGTCGGAAGGATCATCCTCTCAATCAAATCCAAAGCGGTAGGTTGTGACAACATCTCTCGATACATGATTGTTACCATTCTAGATCACCTCCTACCAGCAATAACCCATGTCATCAACTTTTCCCTTTATTCCGGTACTTTCCCTTCCCTCTGGCGTAAAGCCTTTGTCCGTCCGCTCCCTAAAGCCTCTGCTCCCACCCTTCCCTCTCAATTTCGTCCAATATCCATACTCCCATTCCTGTCCAAGGTGCTCGAGGCCTGTGTTCATAAACAGCTTTCTAATTACATATATCGGAATTCACTGATTAGTCCTCTGCAGTCTGGTTTCAGACCTGGCCACAGTACTACTTCCGCCCTCCTAAAAGTGACTGGCGATATTAGAACCGGCTTTGAGGATGCTAAAGCCACAGTCCTGGTTTTGGTTGACTTCTCGAATGCCTTCAATATGGTCAGTCACGACATCCTGTTGGCTATCCTATCCCACCTTATGGTCTCTGGCGAGTCACTGGAGTGGTTCTCTTCTTATCTTCGGGAGCGTCAGCAGGCGGTCAAGCACGGTGATAATTCATCTAACTGGCGCGAATTAAAGGCTGGCGTTCCTCAAGGCGGTATACTGTCACCTCTCTTATTTTCCATCTTTATTAATCTCATCACTTCCGAGCTTCGGTGTGCGTACCATCTATATGCGGATGACTTGCAGCTTTACTGTCAGACCAGCTATGACAGATTGCCGGATGCCATCTCAAAAATTAACAACGACTTATCCGCTATTAATAATTGGTCGGTAAGGTTCGGCATTGCGGTAAACCCCAAGAAGTGTCAGGCGATTGTGATAGGAAGTTCTCGTTCTCTGAGTAAGGTTGACGTTGCATCTCTACCCGCTGTCCTTTACGACGGTGCGATCGTTCCGTTTACTAGTGACGTCAAGGACCTCGGTTTACATATTGACAGCAATCTTAACTGGCATGCACAAGTCATTAGTGTAAGCAAAAAGGTGACTGGATCGCTGCGGGCTCTTTATCGCGTTAAAAACTTGCTTCCGTCCGACACCAAGGCAATGCTGGTACAGGCCCTGTTGTTCCCTATTATAGATTATGCTGATGTGTGTTATTATGACCTGAATGCAGATCTCCTCAATAAACTTGACCGACTTCTGAATAACTGCATTCGATTCGTTTTCAACCTGCGTAAATATGATCATGTTTCTGCATACCGATTGCAATTAAAGTGGTTGCCCATACGACAGCGCAGGGAACTAAGGGCGCTAACCACTCTTTTCTCTGTTCTTGACTCGCCTCATTCGCCTCATTATCTGTCCTTACACTTCCAATATACATGCGCAAACCACAGCAAATATCTTCGCTCTTCTAATAATCGCCTCCTCCAATGTCCAACACATCGTACTAAATTTCTTCATTCCTCCTTTTTTGTTCAGTCTATTCTTCTGTGGAATGCGCTCCCTCCCGATATCAGGATGGTGCCCAGTCGTTTGTCATTCAAGCGGAAGGTGCGGGAGCTACTTTTGAGGAGGTCGGCAGAATCGTAACTATCAATATACTATGTATAATTATGTTACGTCTAGGTAGTACATGTAATATATTTGTGTAAGTTTATTGTTATGACATATACATGTAAGTTTATATAGGGATTTATTTTATGTAAGTCTATACTATCCTTTTTTTATGTATTTCTGTAGATTCCTAAATACGCTTGCTTCTTGCATCGACCATTGTTTTTGTCTCTGCATCACCCAAAGGTCTGGCTGGAGGAGAATGCCCTAGGCATTAAGCCCACCTTGTACATTAGTGTGTGCATGAAGTCTTAAATAAATAAATAAATAAATAAATAAATAACATAATCAAAAATAAAATAAAATAAAATAAAATAAAAGCTAAAAAAATTAAAATGAAGTGAAGTCTTGTCCATGGTCCACAGACTCATTATTTACTGAAATTATAGAATACTTAATATCTTATATTATCTGTGGACCATAGACAAGGAACACCCTACTTACTTCATGCATGCATTTCATAAAATTGGTTAGGGAGTATATTATTATATAAAAAGTAAGCAATCGGCGTCGCCCATGGACACCCAGAAGTGCGTTACCGGCCTTTTGGGGATTAGGAATTAGAAAAAGTGAGGATTCAAAGATTGCGGAGGGGGGTAATTAAGCCTCCGGTAACCTCACTCACGCGACGAAACACAACGCAAGTTTTGTTTCACTATGGTTTTCTGTTCGTTGGTGGTATCACTCCGGTCGAGCCGGCCCAGCAGTGCCGAAATAGTGTTCTAATATTGTAATGTAGTTATATACAACATGTAACGTAATTAACGCACGCCCTCAAATACCCCAATTAGAATATTACGTTATAATCATAATACATACACTACATTTTTAATTTAACATGTATATGCATCCTTACTGGTCTTGTCATAAGGTTTATTTTTCTTTATTTTGTATTGAATGATAGAATTTGTATGAATACAAATAAAACTGCGATTTTAAAAGTCTTATTGCTTTGACTTACGGTCCATTTCGATTTGTTTTAACAATACAGGGTTAATATGACAATAATTTCTGTAGTTTTAATTATTTTCGGGATAAAAAATTACCTATACTAAAAATTATATAAATCGATTCAGTTAACGATTCTGAAAAAACTATTTTCAGGATGTGCGTTATTTAAGTTACATGTGGTATATAAAACCGAGTTCTATTTAAATATTATGTTACCTGTCAAATCTCTGTTTTGCCACCAATGGAATAGATACGGCATGTCGGAGAATGTGAATCTGAAAATTAAAACTACGTTTAAAAAAATCAGATTTCTACCACCCCTGTTTTTTAAAGTCAATTGTATATTATAATACAGTATGTTAGATTAACTCGTTGCGTACCGTCATTATAGACACAATTAAAGAACAATAGGTTGCGGTCACCGGTGTTCTCGCGGTGTTTGACAGTTTAACTCGTCGAGTACCGTCATTATAGACACAATTAAAGAACAATAGGTTGCAGTTACCGGTGTCCTCGCATCGCGGAGAACCTAACGGGTAACCGGGGCTCCGGCTCGACGTGCAGGAGAAGGAACGGGGTGGTTTTTAGTCAGTAAGAGTCTGACACTCCCTTCCGCCTCACCCAGGCGGGAGCAGTCATTCGATGATTTTCCCCCATTAAAAAAAAAAACCGGTGTCCTCGCGGTGTTTGACAGTTTAAGCGAGGGCCATATTCAAATCCACAATAGTGTATGCTCACATGAAGCTAACTAACATATAAACGAAACATTACTAATATATAATAGACAGAACGATAAACGCTTACGCTTACGGGTTACGGCTTAGCGGGCTTACGCGCGCTCTATCCTTTTCGGCGAGATCGGTGCGTGTTTTGCAACGCGACTTACTTTATGTAAGTACTGTTTATTAAATAAAAACGCAGGTTACTCACGTGAATATACTGAGAAAAGCTCTACTAGTTTCGAACCACAGAGGGATTCTTCTTCATGAGCAGCGTGCGCGGACGCGGCGAACCACAGAGAGGAAGAACCCCTCTGTGGTTCGAAACTAGTAGAGCTTTTCTCAGTATATTCACGTGAGTAACCCGCGATTTTACTTAATTTAGTATGTCTCACGATAGTTATTATAAAACACAGTCCTGTTTCTGTTTACAAGTTCACTTGTTGAGCGCTCAGTGTTCATGATGTATTTTTTTTTCTGTCCTTTAAGGTTATTTTTTTCGATCTCTTTGACTGTATTTTAGTGTTACATTGTTCTCGCACAATCTAAACAATAAAACTATGTAATTAGAGAATTGTATTGTGAACCTGATTGAAAAAGAGTAACCTATGGAGTTTCTTGCTCGTTCTTCTCCATAGGAATCTACACCTTGGAATGAGCAAATAGCTTCACTTTTAAATTTTTTTTGTTGGCGTACAAAAGTGCCTCTCTGGTCTATTTGAAATAAATGATTTTGACTTTGACTTTGACTTTATTTTATTGGACAATTACCTCATAAATTTAGGTTAAAGGTTTTTTACATATTCGGGACGAGAATCGAATACTGAATACCCTCCCTCAGTAAGTCCCTCGTTTAACCTAACACACCTTCTCTTAAGTGTAACAACCACTTTTCTGGAAACCGCATCAAAATCGGTTCAGCCAATCGCTAGATAATCTCGAACAAACATTCAAACATACATACATACAGGTCAAACCTACATTTTCTGCTCCAATTTCCCAAAATAAAAGTAGCCTATATTACTCCTTAGTACATCAGCTACCTGCCAATCAAAGTCCCGTCAAAATCGGTCCAGCCATTCCAGAGATTAGCCAATACAAACAGACAGACAGACAGACAAAAATGATAAAAATGTTATTTCGGTATATGTATCGTATGTAGCAAATAGCGGTTATTTTAATATAACAAACAGAAATTCCAATTTTATTTATCTGTATAGATAGATGCATAGATTTAAAGATACGTACTTCCTGTCCTTGTGAGCCCAGAGAGCCGTGATGGTTGCATCCAAAATATTCTTCATAGTGACTTTACTTTGACTATTAAACATGTTATCATCTGAAAGTAATAAACACGATGTGATTAAGAAGTCATCAACGGCCTGTTAGTGGCTACTGCTGAGCATAGGCCTCTCATAGAGAAGTTCAATGCGGGTTGGCGAGGGTAGATGCCTAATTTTTACTTTAATGTCCGTCTGGTAGATTATTTTAAATCATTAGACAAGTATTTTTTATTTTCTTACAGCAACGAATACTTTCGACGATATATTGCTTTGAAATGTCGCATGACGTCACTTCTATGTACATTTTATACGTAAAAATGACGTTTTAGCCCCCACTCCTAAACTTTTCGTAAAAATGACGTTTTAGACTAAATTTTGATTCGTTTTATCTAAGTATTGTTTTATTATAGGACAAAATAAAAAAATACGTGTCTAATATTTTTTCATTACCTAACTAACGGGCTAATTAAATTTTTAATTTTCAAACCCTGTCATCATCCCAATTGGAAAATACTGGCTTAGTGAGCGGCCGTTCTCGCGGTGTTTGACAGTTTCTGTACAATAAAAAGTAACCTATGTTATCCAAAATCATAATCTACCCTTGTTCCAATTTTCGGCTCGTGACCAGTCCTTTAGGGATTCTCCGGTCGCCGTTAACGCGGTCCTGCGGACAGCGAGCATGGGTGGATCGCCGCCCGACCAGAACCAGACCCGAGCATACGGCGCCGAGCGTTCCGCACGCGCCTCAAAGAACCATCAGACCACCACAGATGGGGCTTAATAGGGCTGATGCCGATACGGAGTCGCGGAGAACCTAACGGGTTACCGGGGCTCCGGCTCAAAAAATAGATCATAATCTACCCCTGTTTCAAATTTCAGTGCGTGACCAGTCCTTTCGGGATCCTCCGGTAGTCGTTAACACTGGCCTGAGGACGGCAAGCATGGGTGGCTTGCCGCCCGAGTAGGACCACCTTACACCGCGAGCAGAGCGAACAGCGCGCCTCAAAGAGTCATCAGACCACCACAGATGGGGCTCAATAGGGATAATACGGGCCGATACGGAACCGCAGAGGACTTAATGGGTTACCGGGGCTCCGGCTCGAAGGGCAGGAGTAGGAAAGGGGTGATTTTTAGTCAGTAAGACTCTGACACTCCTTATCGCCTCACCCAGGCGTGAGAAATCATTCGATGATTTGTCTCAAAAAAAGCCTTTTATTAGGGATTGGGAATTTGCAGGATTGAGGGCGGGGGAGGATTATGAAGATAAGGGCAGAACAGGAAGAAAACTACTTCAACATCAACGTGACAGTCCTGAATCCACTGCTGCACTATGAGTCACCTCTACATAAGAGGGTTTGTCATAATCTCCTCAGGCAGGCGGGTTGGAGGTCGCAGTATAAAAGGTTCAGGTTTATCAGAGAGCGCTGCTGCGCGGTCTCTGTCTAATATACCTTCGTCGGGTATACTACACCCACGTAAGAAGTAGGGGTGGCAGTGACATAACATCACGCCTTTTATCCCCGATGGAGTAGGCAGAGATGCACATTACGACACTTAATGCCACTGTACAATGTAACAACCACTTTTCACTGTTTATGTTATGAGTCCCATGTAATAGGGGATGAGCCTATTGCCATATTCTGGGCACATTTTCAGACACCGTACTACTACAATTTTTTTTAAAAAAACCTAGTATTACTTTGCTCGACCCGGGATTCGAACCCCAGATCCCTAGCCCAGCAGTTGCACTTGCGACCACTCGGCCAACGAGGCAGTCTAGGCAGAGGGTGGCAGTATATATAATATGATACTTACATCCAGTATAGTGTTGATAGAAAGTTCTGATGTCGCCGAGCTCGCCATGGGTGCTCGGTACTATGTGAACGTTGATTACGTTCAACCCCATTAGTGGGCAACTCTGTGTACAATACATGAATTCGAAATTAGTACATAACATCACGACGTTTATCCCCGAAGGGGAAGGCAGAGGTGCACATTACGCCACTGTACGCCAATGTAACACCCACTTTTCACTATTTATGTTATGAGTCCCATGTAATAGGAGGTGTGCCTATTGCCATATACCGGGCACATTTCCAGACTCCGTGCTACTACTGAGATTCTTTTTAAAACCCAGTAATACTTTGCCCGGCCCGGGATTCGAACCCGAAACCCCTTGCCCGGCAGTCGTACTTGCGACCACATGGCCAAAGAAGCAGTTCAAAATGGGAAATTATATGTGCGGCAACAAAAGTTTTCTTTAGCACCTGCAACCTTTTTATATGTGAGCGACGAGTTAATAGAACAGAATTCAATTATATTAATTCATCATCTTTACTATTCCAACAAAATATCAAGAAACCAGCGTCAATTTACGAGCGTAAATTAATATGACTCCGAGCTACCGATAAATATATTTACTTCTGATTTGATAACTCAGCGACTAATGTTGACTGACTGCACAGCAATTTTGGGCACCCCGAAACATTTGGTTAGGTTAGGTTAGAACTGCGACCCTCACAAGGCGCGAGGCGAGCGAGCGTAGCGAGCGGTGCCGCGGTAGCGGCCGCCGAGCGTTATATCACTAACTGCTTTTTAAATCTTTTCATACCATTTAGCCGTTTATATTAAAAATATTAGTTTAAATGTTGCGTCATATTAACAGTAGCTTGTTTTACAATATATGGTCGCTTATAAACCATTTATTAGACGCTAAAAGTTTGTCGCTGACCTATTAATTCATTAGACAACTAAATATATTTGCAGACGAGAATGACATTTTAAAGAAGCTGCCTTAATTAGCACCCAATTCCGATGCATTTGGTTCCTAATTCCGAGTATAAAAATAGAAAGGGAACTATGTAGGGAGAATTATACATGATGTTTAAAAGTCAAATCTGTTTATTTTTTATATTACTTAAATCAATTCTGTTTTTGTTTATTCTAGTTTTATTCTAAACCCTGTTTTTTATTAATATTATTCCTTAATCTTATAAAAATATAAAAATGAATTAACAATATCAACATTAAAATCTAATTGTTGCATTACAAAAATTTTTGTTTCCTCCGATTTTGAGAGTACCGTTTTGCGACCGGCTATATGGCCACTATATTTTTGGTCACGTTTGTCTCTCAATGTCGTTTCTGGAATGTTGTATTCTCGGGAAGCCTTATAGACGCTACTGCCATTATTAATTGCAATAAGCGCACTTTCAAGATCCTCGACCGTATATTTCTTTTTTGCGTTCATTATCCTACAACAACACAAGTAAGTTAATGTAAGTAGTACCACAGGTAATAATTATTTTTACCTGTGCTACGACCCGTAGTAGCACCGGTAAAAAGGGAAAATACCCAATATGAATATTCTTAAGAGTCTTCTAAAGTCATTTTCTTTAATATAATAAAATAAATAAAATACATGCAATTAAAAAAAAACTAAACGTAAAAAAAATAATTTTATTATATTTTTTTACAAACACACACTCCAATTTTATGTATTTGTATAGATGATTAGTATTCTTTCAGTTACTAAACGCGTATCTACTAAGCACATAAAATAATGAACACTCTGTATTTAAACAGGGTCTTAACTAACTTCGGAATTAGGTTCTCATGTAATCTTATTCCGACGTAAATACATCGGAATTAGGTACTCATGTAACCTTATTCCGACGTAAATACATCGGAATAGCGTTTTATGATGCTAAATCAAAGTTTCTAATTCCGAGTACTAAAAAGTAAAAGATTTTTTAATATTATGCAAATAAAATAATGTATAGTTACAATATGAAAGGAAAACAAATATAAAGTACATACATATAATAACAGAACACTTATAAAACCTAATGTCTTCACTAAAATCTTCTATACAACGTATTAATAAAGTACCTGTACAAACAATTTTTGACCTGCTATAATTAGTAAATGCGACGCCACGGTGTACCTCGGAAATAGATTATTAAATGTATGAGTTATTCATTAAGTCAGAACTAACACATTAAAGTTTATAATCATAAAACAGACACCGAAATTTAAAAAAAACTAAATGTCTTTAAATTTGTTTTTCCGTGGTATACATCGGCTTTTAGGAACACACTAAAATATTTTGCACCTAATGCCGCGGTATTTTAAACACTTATTTTCTTGCTAATTTGCAAATAAAATACTCAAATCTTAAGTGTTTTCGATAAAAAATATTATCCTTTCAATATTTCAACCTAAACGAAAACTCGCGTTGTATAAAATTATTACGTAAAACACTATTTGGCAAATCGTAATACTCACGTGCATAAGGTCCCAAATGTATGAAGTGTGCTTTCGACGCCGCTCCCCGCGGCAAAATGACCGATTATTTTACAGTGTGACCATACTAAACTCTCCTTTGTATAAATAAATATGAACAGATAATTATTAATTCATTATTTTATCATGCAGACCATAAATAACTAGTAAATTGCTTTAAAAAACTGTTTTTCTAAATACATCGGAATATGATGCCATTTTTAGAACCCCTCGGAATAAGGTGCATTTACCTTAGTTTAAATGTTGCGTCATATTAACAGTAGCTTGTTTTACAATATATGGTCGCTTATAAACCATTTATTAGACGCTAAAAGTTTGTCGCTGACCTATTAATTCATTAGACAACTAAATATATTTGCAGACGAGAATGACATTTTAAAGAAGCTGCCTTAATTAGCACCCGTTCAAAATTACTATACATATATTAAATTTGTAGGAAACTCAAAACTGTACATACATTGAATATTTTTAAAAGAATGCTTGTCGCTTGATCTATCGTCGCTATCGAAGCCAAAAACATATTTTAACCGACTTTACAAAAAGGAGGAGGTTATCAATTCGGCTGTATGTTTTTTTTCTATGTATGTTACGTGATTTTGGACGGATTTTAATGATTCTGTTGATTTTTTTGTTGGAAAGTTCATACTCTAGGGGTGGTCCCATTCCTACCAGGTCAGGGTTTGATGATGGGATCCCATGGAAACCGAGGCGAACTTTTCAAAATTGTATGGGGGGCGAGAGCGTTTGTTAATTTTTTTATATAGTATTTGCAACTACTACAATTTAATGAAGATATGGAGTTGATCTGACGATGGAGTCAAGAGACAGCCGAGGGAACTCCTCGAGAATTTGTAGCAATGACCCCGTGTTTGGGCTTAAATTATTTGTATTGAGAAGATCTTTACATCAAGATCGGATATAATTGTCATTAGGGGACTGATGATGAAGTAGTATGGTAGCTAAAGGAACTCCTCAACGTTTAACAGTAGCTACCTGGTTTTTGGGCTTGATTAATTTCAAGCGATGGGCACTTTACACCTACATGGGGTATGATTGTCAATAGGGGCCTGATGATGAAGGAGTTTGATAGCTAAGGGAACTCCTCAACGGCTGACAGTAGCTACTTGGTGTTTGGGCTTTATAAATTTGTTTTGATGAGAACTTTACACCTAAATGGGGTGTGCTTATCATAAGGGGCCTGATGATGAAGTAGTATGATAGCTAAGGGTACTTATAAACGATTTAATAGCTACTGTTAACCGTTAACCTGGTGTTCGAGCATGAATAATTTGTAATGATGAGAGCTTTACACCTATGTGGAATATACGTAGTATATACTGGGTCTATATAGCGTTGACTAAACTAAAAAGATAAAGGTGGAAATAAGAACAAAAAATGCATTTAAAAACAAGCAAAAGGTCAAAACTAAAAAGCAAAAAATAACTATTATTAGTTATACCTACTTAGGTTACTCATAGGTTACCCACCCACTGACAGGTTAGAAGTCGGTGCCACAAGCCCATAACAAAATATAACTTAGGTTAATGGTCATAGTTATAATCTGTCATAAAATTGTACACAGCTTAGGTAATATAAGGTATTTGTTAAGGGTTTAACTTTTGTTTAAACTGTCAAACACCAAGCGGTCACCGGTCACCGCAACCTATTGTTCTATAATTGTGTCTATAATGACGGTACTCGACGAGTTAAAACTTGTGGCACCGACTTCTTACCTATCAATGGGTGGGTAACCTATACGTACGTATGACTAATAATAGTTATTTTTTGCTTTTTAGTTTTGACCTTTTGCTTGTTTTTAGGTTTTGGTTTTCGAAGTCGGTTTTTAGAATTTTTGTCTGTCTGTTTTTTTTTCTGTATGTCTGTTCGGGCTAAACTCAACACGTAGGTACTGCATGGATTTCAAATTTTGCAAGAATATTATTAGCAGGTCGGGTCAATATACAACATGTAACTTAAATAACGCACATCCTGAAATAGTTTGTTCAGAATCGTTAACTGAATTGATTTATATAATTTTTAGTACAGGTAATTTTTTATCCCAAAAATAATTAAAACTACAGAAATTATTGTCATATTAACCCTGTATTGTTAAAACATATCGAAATGGACCGTAAGTCAAAGCAATAAGACTTTTAAAATCGCAGTTTTATTTGTATTCATACAAATTCTATCATTCAATACAAAATAAAGAAAAATAAACCTTATGACAAGACCAGTAAGGATGAATATACATGTTAAATTAAAAGTTTAGTGTACCTCTATGTATTATGATTATAACACAATATTCTAATTGGGGTGTTTGAGGTGTACGTTAATTACGTTACATGTTGTATAGGCTAAATATTATTATCACTATTTGCTATCACCTAAGAGGAAGGAACTACGAAGAACTATCCAAAGTCACTATTCCACGCGAACGAAGTCACGGGCATAGCGCTAGTTACTGAAAGGCGATTTGAAGTGGTACTTAAATATCGTGCTATCTCTGTCATTGAACAAAGAATTTGTACCGACAGGACTATAGTTTTTAGAATATGTATCAGAGACAGAACATACTTTTTTAAAAAAAGTAACGAATGG